CGAAGAATAGATTCGAAATGAAGAACGAATCGGTTGGAATGGACACCTCGTAGCGCACGTCCTCGAAACCTTTGCCGAGAAGCGAGCTCACCTTGGTGATCAGCGGCCCCAACCAGACGTGGTAGTCCTCCGTCTGTTCGCTCATGACATTACCCATGATACCGCGAGAACCGGAACGATGTGTCTCTCCGATCAGCAGCCACCGCGATCGCCGACTGATAGCGAACGCTACCAGTTGAAAGTAAACTGGTCTTCTGTTCATATACCGAGAGGTTATTGATCGCGCGAAACTAGAGACACGTGGCAGAGTGGGAGAGATACCGATGTCCTTGAAATGATAAGTCAGTGACTTGCGTGGCCAAATCTAAAGATTCGTTCATAATGATACAGCGAAATTATGAAACGTGTACGGGGAAGGGTAAGGGGGAGTATATATACAGTTGGCAGAGTCTGTGATTTGTGGAAAGCCATGGCCTTTTCTGTAAATTTGTATTTTTAAATATTGAGGGAAACGAGATTGTTTTATTGTAGAACTGTGATAAGTAGACTATGGCTCCGCTGTATAAAATCTCATGCTCTTCGTTTCTTCGAAAATGGAATCCTCTCAGGTATATACGATAAACTATTGTTTCTAGCGACGAAAATCCGAACTCTACGAAGTGAACCTTTGTTAATCTTTCAATTCGCAAATAACATAGAATTTCACCCGATTATCAGCTTATAGCTGACTGTGTAGTCACTGTCGAGTCGCAAAATATAAACATAACTGATAAAAAGTTTATTGACACTCGCGTAGGTGTTGTTTGCATATCGTTCCGATACTTCAGACCTTTGGCGCTAAGAATGGTTGCGACTAGACCGCGAATATTTATGCTTATTCATATCTTACATTATCTCTTCCTCATAAGTATTATTTAATTAACGCTGCCTCTGTACTGATAAACATTAATTAGAACACTTATCACGTAAGGAAATGTACAAAAATGTTAAAGAACTCAAGCTTATTTGACTTATCACTCTGTTCTAATATTTGCGAATTTCTTTTGTCATATCGGTGTGTATAAACCTTAACGTCCTAATAGATAATTACGCTCGCTGATACTTAATTCTCTTGAATGTTTCGAGCCAACGATATAATACAGAACGCAGGAAGAAAGAACATGTGCTTCATACGTGGCGAAATGTTCTGTTGAATTCTATTTATTTGTGTATAATTTTAATGTCTAATGTTTCCCTAATGTCGTCAAAGTAAATATTTACCGAACCCTAAATCGAACC